GTCCCTTAATGTAACTTCAGCTGATAATGCAAATAGAAAAAAATCTTCTTGCCATGCTCCAGAGTAGGTTCTGACCTCAGAGTCCCAGAGTCCTTGTCACAGTGATAGTGTTCATGCTTGGGTCATTAGAGGGACTAGAGGAAGCGTAGTGATATGTTGACGGAACTGGGCAGTTTAGATGCTGGGCTGCTGACAGCTTTGGCTGAGATGCTTTAGCTCAACAACAGCAAAATGAACATTATAGAGTAGGGGCTTGGTATAGATACCGTTCCTTTTCTGGCAGTCAAGGAGAAACATGGTAATTATATGTATGGACTTTCATCTCTTTTCATTTCAAATGATTGCATAGAAAGGGTTATTGGATGCAGCTATGTGAAGATACAGTCTTACCTACTTTTGTCTTTTCAGATTTGAGAAATAATAAAAGTTGTGAACAATCAGTTATAAGTTCATGTAACATACATTCTTTTCAGACTTCAGGAAAATTATTCTCTAAGTTTTACAATATGGTTTCAAAGATATTTTTCTCATTGTGCAGATGAAGAAAAAAGAAAAACTGTAACTATAACCTTACATGGCACAACAGTTAGGTTTTGTCAGATTAGTGTTTGGCTCTAGGTTGTCTAATTCTTACTTCTGCATTGTGCTACACTTAAGTTTTGTTTCGAGAGTCTATTGTGGTTGATCCTTCATTACAACTTCACAGAATTTCGATCATCTCAGATTGGTGAGGGATACCACTGAGTGCACCTGTGAAAGCATTTCCATCGAGGGCTGACAGAGTGGGGAAGACCTACGCTGAATGACAGTGATATCTCACAGATCACTCCCCCCAAAGGGAAAAAGTAGAAAACATATCGAGCATTATCACTTTTCTTTGACAAGCACTTGTCCTTGGTCATGACTAGTTGTCTTCTCCCATATGATTGGCTGCCCTTTGGACATAAGACCAAGTGATCATAGATTAAATGTGATGAAAGCACGAGTCAACATACGTCTTTCTCCCTGTGGTTGTGACAGGCATTGTTTCACAACATGAGAGCAGTAACTAAAATAGGGATACCCTTCTGCATTGTAGCTTCCTGAAAATACCCGTATCTTAGAGACTGGGTTCCTGGAGCACCTACAGCACATGATCTTGTGGAAACCAAGTGTCTCCTAATGCTACCAAGTGTAAACCAGAGTAGGGTTCTGGTTCTTGCTCAAGAGAACCCCCATGCTAACCTTAAATGCTCAGTTATATATCTCTTGACAGTATTGGCTTCAGTGTTTTTCAAACCCTTTTCCCATTGAGAATCAACAGAGTCATTCCTTCCCTCCTGCCCCCCAGATCTACGGTAGGCCCCTATAGACAGGAATCAAGCAACTCTCCAGGCACCTGCAGCTCCCACTCTCAGATTAACACAAAGGCCCTAACTAGGAGGATCTGGCCTGTGTCTCTTTTCCCTCAGACCCATGTTGCAGATGCCCTGTCGAAGTAGACTTGGGCTAGATCACTTGACTAACTTTTTGCTGCCAGCTCCTCATCGTATCCAGGAGTTCTGTTTCAGGCTCACAATCACCCTAGTGAGGTTCAGCAGTTGAAGGAAATTAGTGAAGGTGCTGCTCTTCCAAGTGTCTTAGTCAGTGTCCTATTGCTATGAAGAGACACCATGACTGTAGCAACTCTTAGAAAGGACAGAATTTAATTGGGGCTCACTTACAGTTCAGAGGTTAGTCCATTGTTATCATGATGGGGAGCAGGGTGACACTCAAGCAGTCATGGTGCTGGAGAAGTAGCTTCAGAGTTCTACATCCAGACCCATAGACAGCAGGAAGAGAGAGAGAGAGAGCCACTGGGCCTGACTTGAGCATTTGAAACCCCAAAGCCCACCCCCAGTGACACACGACCTCCAACAAGCCAATGCCTGCTCCAACGAGACCACACCTCTGGTGTGGGAAGTCCTTCTGTCTATGTGTTGCTTTTATTGGTTAATGAATAAAGAAACTCCTTTGGCACGGTATTACAAATAATATAGTTTCTGTGTGATTATTTCGGAACTGAGCAGCTGAGAACAAATGAGCAGCCTCCAACAACATACCTCCTAATCCCTATGAAGTTGCATCATTCCCTAGTGACCAAACATTCAAATCTATGAGCCTGTAGGGGCCATTCTTATTCAAACGACTATACTAAATATTCTGTAGAGTCAACTTGGAGAGAAAGTGTTCTGCAGGTCCAGAGAAGTGGCCCAGAGCATCTACTCAGAGGAAGAAACAGATACTGAGGACAAGATCTTTGTACCTTTACCTGACAACTAGAGAAGAGCCTGGCAAGGTTCATGCCTAACAGGCCTTGTTGGAAATACTGGAGAGCTTGGTGGCTAACTTTTTAAAGGTGGCAGCATGTTCAGAAACTTCTAAGGTAGTTCCTCCATCATGCTCTTTCTGCGTGCTTGTACTTGGCTCCTAGGAGCCATGAAAAGGAACTGGGACACACTCTAAAGATCCTCCCCAAAGCCAATAGCCCGTCTTAGTGGCCCAGGGAACACTGAAAATGTAGGATGCTTGAGACGTTGTACAGTAATAGTGATGGCATTCTATGAAACTTAGGGTGCAGCAGCTCGTTCTCCTCTCCCCATACTCAAGCCCCTTGTCTTGAAGCATTGAAGTAAAGGACACGCCACTCTCTTCGTAGGGACCTACCTCAAAACCGCTGAATCCTAAGGACAGAAGCCTGTACTTGGGTTTTATTGCAACTGCAACTGAGCAGGAAAGGTAGACATTACTGTCTGTATCCTCCATTGCTGCAGCACTGGGCATTGGCTAAATGGCTCCAGCCTCGGGGCAGAACAGAAACTATCCTTGGTGCCTCTGGACCAAAGGCTGACATGTTTGGAGTGTAAGATGGGCTCAGAATACTAGTGAATGGTATTGGTGAAGTATAGACCAGGCCTTCAGCAGATGAGTTGGTAAGGGAGGAAACAGATGGGGCCTGAAAATTAACAGTGACTTTGATACCATGTTGAAAAGAGCACCCAGGAGGCAGAGGTGTCCGTAGTGTTCCTTTAGGAGCCAGGGAGGGGTGCTGATGGGGACAGGTAGATCCATCTACATAGATGGACGGTCTTCTCAGGACTCTCAGTTGTTTGCAAGGTGTGTGCCTTTTCATATAGGTGCATAATATGTATGGAGTATAACAAGTTTTGTGGGTTTTTTAATTTCATTTTATAATTAAAACTTATAAGTGACTTGAAAGAATTCTCTCTGATCTAAGTATGAATTTGATGATTCTTTGTTTTGCTTTTTGTGGTGTGGGGATTAAATCAAAGGCCTTTCACATACTGGACAAGTGCAATGCAAGTAATCTACATTCCCAGCCCTGAGTTTATGTTTCATGTACTTCCGAATTTTATTGTTTAAGAATTGCTTTATTACAAGCTTATTGTAATTTGGTCTTTGATTTTTGTAAAGCATGCATGATTTCCAAATGAACATTGTAAGGTATGATCAGGAAGGTTCTAGTTTCTGTTCCATTCCTTCCTCTGTTTCTTTCTTCCCTATATAGGTATATTTCACATATCTGTGTTTGTACATGTGTGTAACAATGCCTTTATATAGATATACATACAGGTATGCTTGTACATAGAGCACAGAAACACATGTATGATATATAGCAAATATCTATGAATGTACAAGACTGCATTGAATACATCCAAAAGATATGTACTCACAGAAAGAGGCACAAGAAGATGCAGGTATGCATACTTGTAGTTATATAACAGCACATGGAGATATGAGCAGAAAACTAATATGCACTACCCTCTTTTGTTCTCTCCCTTCTTTTACCCCCTCCCCACTTCATGTCAGTGTTTATCAACTTCCTTTTCAAGCAAACAGTTACTACTGCAAGACTACCCCAGTTTAAAAATGTTGATTGCACATCCATTACCTTCTTCTGTTCTTAAACATAATGTTTCAATTTTTCCCCCCGAACTGGGTGTCCTATAGCCCAAACATTCCTCAAACTCTCTTTATAGCTGAGAAATCCTTGAATTCCTCTTGACTCTACCTTCCAAGTGCTGACATTGCAAGTGTGTGCCCTCATGCCTCAAACAAGTCTCTCTCTCTGCATGTGTGTGTACATACTTTTTCCACTTAACAATGTGTCCTATGGCTCTTTTCGTAATGTTGAGCTCTTTGCTCTTGTTCTCTTTTAATTGCTGCCTCAGCTGTTTTAGTCCGCTAGTTCTCTAGTCCCTGTGCCAATCTATCGTTATTGTAAACACTGTTGCAGCGAATGATCTGTGTGTATCGTTTAGTGCATTTGTGTTTGCTTTTATCTCTAGATCAATTCTGAGAAAAGGGATGGTGAATATGGTCTGGGGGTAATTAGATTCTTGTGATTCAAATTTTTCCCCTTCTGAAATTTGATGGGTTTCTTATTACATATTAGTATTTACCTGGGTATTAGCATTTTAGTTGTGCTTATATTACCGAATGTTATGTTGGTCAATTAACATTTTATTACCAAGGTAATGTCAGACTCAGATATTTTTGTATGTATCTTATTATGTTGTCATCATCAAAACTTAGATTAAAAGTAAATGATCAGGATAGCTTTCTAAAGCAAAATAGTTGATATTAAACCTTAACAGGCACAGGCAGGGTTGTAGCTCAATGGTAGGGAACTTGTCTAGCATGCTCGAGCATGGGTTTGAGCCATAGCACCATGCAGAACACAGACAGATACTGTCACTACCACCTCCAACAAAAGCAAGGTCACCAAACAGGACATAAGTAATTAAAAATTAGATTGATGGCTGTCTTTTTACAGATTTGTTCTTTGAACCAAATGATATCATCTGAAATGAGGGCTTTTAAAGCTGTTTCTTCTTTGGGCTATTTAGATGAATCATTTTCTTGTTCCTATTGTATTGACATCTGCTTGAAAACATAACTCAGTAGAACTCTTCTCCAGTGCAGTTCCAGATGGTGACATGTTCTTCTCTACCTCCAAGGTTCATGCTTTATCCGCACGGACCAGCTAGATGGTGAGACCGACTGGAAGCTGAAGGTGGCGGTGAGCTGCACACAACGGCTACCAGCCCTAGGGGTGAGCACCACTGGGCACTGTTCTCTCTCTCTCTCTCTCTCTCTCTCTCTCTCTCTCTCTCTCTCTCTCTCTCTCTCTGTGTGTGTGTGTGTGTGTGTGTGTCTTTTGTCTTCCTCTCTCTCGGTCTGTGTCTCTATCTCTTTCTTGCTCTCTTTCTTTTGAAGTGATTTCTAGGTGGTAAGTGAAGTTTCTGTGTCATTTTCTTTTTCCTCAAGGTCATTAAAGATGATGTGGTTTCCAGGTTGATAGACTGTTTCAGATGGTTTTCCATGTCCTGTTGATTTGATACTTAGACTATCTGTGTTTTTATTTGTTGTAAGCTTCTTAATTAGATAATCTGTGTTTGACCTTGAAGTGCCAGGCAGGTGAGTCTGTTTCTAAGAAATGCTACTCACTGAATAGCAGGGTAAGGTCTTCCGGGAGAAGAGAACAGGCCTTGACTTAGCCTTGACTTTGTGCCAAGTCTTTTGCCTGCATCTTTTCCTTCTGAGGACAGGAGAACTGATCTTGAGGAAGTGAGTGCTGCTGTCTTTTATGCTGAGGGAAGTGGGAGATCCTTTCAGATCATTGGGACACAAAGTCTAATTGGTCTTAATAATAAAAACTCAGAGTCAGCTATCAAGGGGTGAAAGCTGAAGGATCAGAGAAGCAGAGTGACCAGCCACTAGAGTTCTTACCTCTACCAGTGCTCAGATCAAAGGGGTGAGCCATCCTGTCTTCAGACTGCACTGAGCTCTTGTCTCCTCCCGCCTGTATTCCTCCCTCTGCCCAGCCATATCATTTCCTTTCTCTACCTGCCTAGTCCTGAGATTAAAGGCATTGATCCCAAGTGCTAGGATCACCTTTGTATGAGCTTTGTTTTTCTTTTAGATTGGATCAATTTCATGTAGCCCAGGATGGCTTTAAACTAACAGAGGTCTGTCAGCCTCTGTCTCCCCAGTCCTGGGATTAAAGGTGTGTGACACCACTGCCTGGCTTCTAGTGGTTTGGCTTTGCACTCTGATCTTCAGGCAAGCTTTATTTGTTAAAATAAAATATCACTATGGACCACAGTTTAGTGGGTCCTCTCCTCACACACATACTTCGGGAAGCTGTAAGAAGAGCTTAGAACAAAGTATAAATCTTTGTAGATTTAATGATTTCTAAAGCAGCTCTCCTAGATGTCTGAATCTCTCCTGCTAGTATACCTGTTCTTCTTTCCCTCCCTCCTGTAATAATGAGGATACCTGCAGTTTTCCTAGTCTAGTTTGCCTAGAGGCTTGATATGTGAGGGGGCAAAGTAAAGAAACTGTTGACGTGAATGCTCTTTGATATGGTTAAGATTTTTATTGCAGATAAGAGAGAGGACAGCCAGAGATGTCTGGAAGAGTCCAGAGCAGAGAGAGAAAGAAGTAGGTTGTCCATGGCTAGCGGATGGGGCATGGCCAGGGCTAGAGAAATGGGAGAGGAGAGAATAAAGCGATAGTAGATGGTGAGATAGCAAGAGAGTGTAAGTGGGAATAAGAGAGAAGAGTGAGACTAGCTAGGCTGTAAGACGGATGAGTAGCTGGGGAAGGAAACCTGCCAGCTGGAGGGAGTTTAGGGTAAGGAGGAGGTGAAAAGGGAGGGGCTTCTAGCTTGGACTTTGATGCCAGAGGTACTTGTGATACTGAGGGAGCCTGGGCTTCAATGTGCAGCCCAGGTAGCCATGTGTCCCTTCTGCCTGAGGTAAGGGAAATGACTCTTTTTTTGCAGACAGTAAGTGTTTCACAAGTTCCTGAAGAATACTGACTTCTGTAGTCCAGCTCGCTTATGAGCAGTGGGATAACCTGAGGCCTAACAGTAACAAAAAGGAATTCTATTTTTTCAGAGGCATTTCTATATCTTTGGAAATAATCTTGTATTTTTTTTTTCTGGAGCAGAAATTAAGTGACTATGGCCTAGAAACTCAGATTCAGACTACCTAAATTCTATGTTTCAGTTTCATAAGTTTTTAGAAACTTTTCCATTAGTGTGTGTGTGTGTGTGTGTGTGTGTGTGTGTGTGTGTTTGATGGACTTGTGTGTGCTACAGTGCACATATGGAGGTCAGAGGACAGTCTGTGGGAGTAGTTCTCTCCTTCCACCATGCAGGTTCTAGGGACCACACTGAGGTCATTAAGAAAGCCCTTTTCCTACTCAGGCACCTTACTGACCCTCATGAAGGCGTTCCTTTTTCTTTGTTTCTTTTCTTTTCTTATTCTTATTTTTATTTTTTGGTCATAATTAGCGTTTGATCTGGTGTAAACTCATGGTCAACTTGTACATTTCCAAATGCCCTAATTTACCTGTGATCATAAGATGTTAAGAGGTCAGGGTTAGGCAGGCAGTGAATGGGTACAAGGGAGGTTAAAGTTAATTCAAGATAACCTGAAACAGTACTTGAGAAACTCCATACTCATCATCCATGTTCTAATCAGTCAGTCTTATCAGCATTAATTTCAGGAGAATTTCTGAACGAGAAATCAAAATCTAATAACAAAAGCCTGTTAGCCACCTGCACCGGTACTATTCCATGAACAAATTATCTCTTTTCCAACCTTAAAATTACCCTCAATTGATTATACAATCTCCGGTCCTCTTTCACAAGCAGGCGTGCCTGTTCTTTAGACCTTGGCTACAAATGAGATATTTTGATCTTTGTTTTTACTGCTGTCTTCATAATGTCTGTTGCTGTATAAATGTGTTAGGTTTTGTTTGGGTCAACACTAGCATGTTTTCCCAAACATTGACTGGTTTCCTTTTGGACCCTAATGCTGCTTTCCTGACACCTCTGATTTGTCATTTTAATCATTCAAGTGCCTGTCAGTAGGTGGAGTCAAAGGGGTCATTAGCATTGAAAGGGCTGCTGTTGCTGAAATATTCAGAGGAAGAAGCCCATTGCACATCTGGGTGCTATAGAGTATAGGCCGAAAAGCTCCTTCCCACTGCCCACTTTAGCCAGGGCAGTCCCTTCCTTTCCTGTTTTTCTCAGGCCTTTTCCATGCTTGCCCTCCTTTTCAGTGTTTTACATTTTTATTTAATTTCTTATGTTGCAAAATAAAGTTGTACTATTATCTTAAATGTAGGACAACTGTCTTCTTATTTTCTTTCATACTTTGTTAAAATGAATAAATTTGGACAATTAAGATGGCTAGCAAGGGTGTTTGTCATCAAGTTTGCTGACTTGAGGTCAATCCCCTGTAGTCCACATGGTGGAAAGAGAGAATTGACTCCCTCCTACAAGTTCTCTGACCTCTACACTTGTTCTGTGGCCTGTGTATCCTGGCATACACACAATAAAGATGTGTAAAAATGAAAACATAAAAGCAAGTAAAATTTCCTTGGGAAGTGACTTAAAATCCTGTGTTGAGGTGAGAGTTACTCCTTGGTTACACATGATCCCTTGTGTTACTGGTTTGCCAGTATGTCTGGAGTAAACTAAAAAGGATGTTTTGAAACTATTTGAAGTGGGTGATGACTCCACTTTCTGTTTCCCCCTTGAACAGCCTTCAAAAATGGCACCGACAGTAGGCAGCTGGTCAGTATCCACACTACTTGATAACTGTGTGATAGATTTGGCTTTAAGAGTAACAGAAAAGGAAGTGCAAAATAAAGCCTTGTCAGAAAGAAATTGAAAGAAAACTGAAACTTAACTAAACAAGAATATGCTGTTTGTGATTCAACTCCAGCAGTCTGGGAAGAACAGTTGGGCAGTTGAGGAGGATGGGGTGGCGCTGGAGGACAACAGAGGAGAGCTGGAGAGGAGGGGCATTGTCAGACTGAGGGCTCACAACCTGCGCTCCAAGTCAGGTCCAGCCACTTGTCCTTTATCAATCAATTGGAAGAGCCAGGTTAAAAATGGAAAACAGAAAAGGGAGATTTATTCAATGTAGCCACATTGGGCAGAAGAATGGGGTACCCAGGAAACCCCTCAAGTCCATGTTTGTGCCCTGAAGTGAGATCAAAGTTTAGAGGACCAAGGACACATACATCTAAGCAGTTCTGGTGAAGGTATGGTCCAGCCAGCCACTGTTGATCACTGACCGGGTTTTGGTGGTCTGACAAGATGATAAAACCATTCGAAGAGACAAGTACCCCGTCTGGCTGAGACCCTTTCCTTCTCCCAGCATGAGATTCTGGGGAAAATCCCCATTACTTTGGTGTCTGTTGTTTCTAGATACTTGGACACAAGTATCTCTTTAGAATGGCTTCTTTTCCACCAGGCCCTGCAGGGGGTGAAGGAGGGTAGAGGTGGAAATGGAGCTAGAGAAATGGAGAGGAGAATACAGGTGTGTGGGGGGTGTGGAGTTGAAGGTAGGCTGAACTGGAGGATGGATGTGGAGGTGCAGGAGATAGAAGTAGAGGAGAATGGAGATGGGACATGGAGGAGGGTGGGAGCACAGTGGGTGCTTGAAGGTCGTGGGAATGTTGTGTACCTTGATTGTGATGCTGAAAATAGGTGTATATGTATATCAAATTTAATTTTATATTTTAATTATGTATAGAATATAATATAAATTATGTGCTATTAAATAATAAAAAATTTAGTATACTATTTTCTGTCTATAACTTTGAATGACTTCTATTCTATCACCATAGGAAGTCATGCTTTATTCAATATCTGGAAGATCTTCTCTTCATTTTTATTAATGGAAAATATGTATGTTAATTTTATTTAAAGTATTGTGTTATATATTTTATATAATGCAGTATTTCAAGAGGTATATATTTCACATAGTGCTACTTTCAAATTTTATGCCTGATATGGTATGATAGGAAGTATGAGTAACTATTGTGAAATAATTGTATATTTAATTAAGACATTTTGATATTTTATTTGGTGGTTAACTAACAAGAATATTTCTTACATGAGAACTGACCTCCCGATCCACAGATCGTCATAAAAGCTGGACTCACTATTCTTCATAGAAAAGAAAGCTCTGATTTTACTATAGCCAGGCTGTTCAGTTTGTCATCATTTTATAGCTTACAATGCCATAGCTATTACTTGTTTTAACTCCTGTGTCTGTGAGTGATGGGTTTAGAGATACTTTGTGTCACACCACCAGTAATGTCCTCCCAGCTCCTGACAGTGTGGTGCAGGGTAGGTGAACCTGCTTGTGCTTGAGCCCCACCTCCCCAATGTGGTCAGAGTGGACACTGGGGGCGGTGTTCCCGTGACCAAGGCTCTCCTGCTGCTCTCTGGTCCCAGATGTGGTTTCCACTTGCAGCTACCGAGTTGGCAGAGCACTTTCCAGACACTGTAGACATTTGGGAAATATGCTTCTGGCTTTTGTGATCAAGCAAATTTATTAACAACCATGAGGCCCCAGCAATTTTCAATAAATCATGACTTGCTGATTTATTTCAAAAGATCCATATAGCAGTAAACAATACCATTTACATTTAATTAGTTTTATTGAACAAGAGGCAATTTTATTTGTAATGAAACACATGTTATGATTAAGGATGTATTTTAATGACCTTTAAGTAATGCGAACAAATGTTGCCCTTGACCTAATAGCGGAGGCTTTCCTACATTATTGAAAACTTCAGAATGATTTTTAAATTATCATGAAACGCTTCGAATGACACTCTCATTATTGTGCCATTATTCAGTCATTTGATGTCTAATATACTAAATGAAACGCATGCTTGTAAATGTTCATGTGTGCCTGGAAATGAGGGTTGTCACCAGCTTGTTCATTATGTCCCTGTATCAAAAGGTGCTGTGTGCTATGGAAGTTTCATGTCTTGAAAATTTCTACGACCATGTTTGCTCAATCATAAGATTTATGTTCATTTTTATTTTTTATATTCCAGGACCTTTTTTCTATCAGTGCCTATGTTTATGCTCAAAAGCCACAACTGGATATTCATAGTTTTGAAGGAACATTTACCAGGGTAAGTTAAAGATTTTCAATATTTGTATAGGCTAATGGCAGTGCACCTTTGTTTAGAGAGAATAATTCAGTTAGCATAGCTTAACACAGAAGCTCTAAGCATGAAACAAAAGCTGTAAAATGTGTAAGTTCTTAGAGGTATGTCCTTTGCGCCATCTCTTTCTGGAGCACATGTGGTGCAGGCTTCCTTGTTTTTAGCACATGTCCAGTCTGTAAGATCTGGTTCCCATAGGATAAGAGTCAGAAAAATAGTACAGTGTAGCTAATTCAGTCTTGACTTCAGTTAATAGTTGGTGACCAATGTGCCCAGCACTTCTAGCTTCTTATGTCTCTGGAGGAAAAATACGTGTTTACATGAACGTACATCCTTTACTTCTGTGATGCTTGTTATTATGGAGACTTGCTAAAGCTTGAAGCCCCATTTCTCTCATGACTGTTGGAAATAGAACAACTGAATACTTGTTTTAACAGCTTATAAAGGTTAACATATTTCTTAATAAGGGTCTTTATTATAAGACTTTTTAATATAGGAACATGGACATGTTTGTTACTCATCATACACGATTTAGCTCATGATCATTATCACTTGCAAAACTATTTGCAGATGCTAAGTGATTGACAGTTAATATACAAGTTGTGGGGATGCTAGTTCAGGACACCTGTAAGGCATTCAGAGCCCACGGGGGAGATAGAGATCATTTTGTAGCTGCTTATTTACATGTATGCTGTATAACTACATGCCACGATGTAATGGAAGCATGTACACATGATGCTCCGTGGTATTTCTGTGCAAAAATTTTAACATATAAACAGCTGTCTCTCAATGTAAAAATTAATCCAACCTTTATTATGAATATTTTTTTTTTCAAGATAGGGTTTCTCTGTAGCTTTGGAGTCTGTCCTGGAACTCCTTCTGTAGAGCAGACTGGTCTTGAACTCACAGAGATCCAGTGTCTTTGCCTCTCGAGGGCTGGGATTAAAGGCATGTGCCACCACAGCCCGGCTACAAATCTTAAATGTTATTGGCATTTTGCTTTTTCTTCACTTTTTAAATGTTGCCAATATTTGTTAGACAGATCTTTGCAGACCTCAAGGTTAAAGAGTCAGAGTAGGCTGTCCAGAGCCTGGAGGGCATGTGTGCCATTGTGGGTGGGGATGTTAGACTGGAAACCTAATCAGTCATGCTGGAGGAAGCTGCACAGGGGAAAGTGGCAGTGTTGGGGAGTTGAAGAGAGGCTGCGTTAGACTCCTGTCACCTCAGGATGGCTATGGCCACCCAACTCTATGTTGGACAGACCTCCAGCAACACCTGCCAACAGTGAGAGCAGGTTGAGTCCACTCCTTTTTATTCATGGATAAACTTGGGTTTGATAATTTCTCATATTTCTCTCTCCGAAAATGGGGTAAAATCCAAAATAGCAGAGTCCGTGCCAGGCTAGTTTCGGTGTTGGGAGAAGAAAAAGGTCACCCTTGGACATGGATGTTAGATAGATTTTTGCTCTCGGAAGAGTAGGTAGGATCACATGTCCTCTGTATGGATTTGGTTAGGGTAGCCCTCCAATCCCCAGCGGACTTTTGGAATATATCACTCATGACTGTTTGAGAAACTTGTGAGGCAAAAGTGAGCTTCTTAAAGGTTTGTGTATCAAGGAAGCATAGTGAGGAAGGGAGACAACACTGGAGCACACAGGAGAGTCAGTCCACACCAGTACCACACAGTGATTGGGCTCATAGATGATGAGTTAAGGAGATGCCTTGTGTAAACTGAGAGCAGATCCCAGTTCCCATCATGAGAATAGAATCCCCTCTGTGTATCTGGTTCAAGAAAACAATACTTTGTTATGAACAGAAAGTACCTATGTACTGTATATAAAAGAATAAATGGGAAGATGGGAGAAGCAAAACTTTCCATTTAATAGAAATCCTCCAAAAAGAAACAAAGAAAAACTCCAAGGCAGAGGAACACTTGAACAGCTCTTGCTTCTGTCACTCAGTGGCTTGTCTGTCTCTTTTGTGCTAGGAGCTGCTTGAGGAAAACCCAGCAAGGGTCCTCAGACTTTCTTGGCAGTTATAGTACAACGTACCTGGTCAAAAAGGATCTCTTATACTAAATGTATTCAATAGGGTACAATTCAGGCCCTGGTATATATTTTGTAGATGAAGTCCTATATATTTATTTATAACGGCAGTATAGATTTAGAAATAAATAAAAATTAAACAACCCTGATAGCTTCAGGCATTTGGAACCTAAATTTAGAGACTTCTTAATAACTTGTGTACAAATGTAAATGATCTATATGCCAATTCCATGGAAAGAGTAGTCAGACTGTACACAGTTAGATCCCAATATATGGTGTCTCTAAGAAAACACATTAAAGCCACTTATATTTCAAAAGTAAGAAGGTAGGAAAGTATGCCTTAGGGTGCCTCTAAGTAAAACTCAAGTGCTTATAGCAGTATCACAAGAAGCTGGGTTCAGGGGATAATGAGGAAAGGTTTAATTTATTGTCAGGACATAAAACCACAAGCATTTATGTCCCTAATAACAGCTTTATGAAGCCAACTCTTAGGACTGAAACAGATTCTTAATGGTAGTTGGAAATTTCAATGCCCTCTTATGAATTAATTGAACAGGTATAAAAAATATGTAGGAACATAATAGCTTTGAAGATTATCTTTAAAGTTGATTGAACTGACAGCTATACAAGATATCATTCAGCAGTAGAATGTAAAATATACTTATGGTATGTAGGACATTTATCAAAGTAGGTCAAACAAATCTTAGTATATTTTTGAAAAAAATCCATTCATGTTCTCTAACCACAGTGTAGTTAAATTAGGAAGAAATATTTCTTGAAGTTTCTAAAACTTTAATAATAATAATATATCTTAAATAACTTATAAGTAAAAGAATTGATTAAAAGAGAAATTAAAAATTGTTCCAGTATTGGAAGAAAACATTTATGATCATGAACTGTCTCAAGAGTTTTTCACTGTGACCCAAACTCTAGAATTGTTTTGAAAAGTTGATACATGTGGGTGAGTGAAAATAAGAGTTTGCATATCAGAAATAAGCACAAACATGTCAAAGCTATATGAGTTATGAGAAAATATATGTAGCTTACATTGTGGCTATATGGCTAACCTGCATTAGGAAAGTACTCTTAGAAATTGATCCAGAAAAGAATGATATTCTTATACATGTTACATAACAGGTGAAACTTAAGGACATTATTTTAAGTAAACTAACTTATCCTGAAAGAACAAATATTCTATGATTATGCTTGTAAGAGGTGAGTAATCAGATTCTTAGAAAGTGGATAGTAGGTACTGGGGCCTTTGGCGTAACAGATGATATTTAATAGGGACAGAATTTCAGTTTTATAAAATAAGATGGTTAGTGGGGATAACCGTGCAGCATGATAAATGGGTTTAATGCTGTGCAGGTAAACTTGGTTAGGTCAGCAGATTTTTTAAATACATTTTTTATTGATATTTATTGAGCTACATTTTTCTCTGCTCCTCTTCCTGTCTCCCCTCCCCCCTTCAATCCTCCCCCAAGGTCCCCATGCTCCCAATTTACTCAGAAGATCTTGTCTTTTTCTACTATCTACTTCCCATGTTGATTAGATCTATGTAAGTCTCTCTTAGTGTCCTCATTGTTGTCTAAGTTCTCTGGGATTGTGGTTTGTAGGCTGGCTTTCTTTGCTTTATGTTTAAAAAAACACTTGTGAGTGAGTACATTCACAGAAAGTTGAATAAAGCTAGAGATGCCCACTGACTGCTGCAGAGACTGAAGATGTGTTCGTTAGGAGCAGGCGGTGGCATGTGTCCTTACACATTTCATTTGTATGGGCTCACCAAAATATGCAGAGCATGGGAAAGTTAGGTGTTACTTTGTGGAACTTTCTAGATTATTTATTTCTATTGATTTCTTAAAGATTCTTCATCTACAGAGCCTCAGAATATAGAGTCAGCTTTATGTGCCATGGTGCATATTCATAGTTCTAAGCTAGGGTTCCTGTTTCCCAGATACTGTTTGAATTTAATGACAATGCCTTGTTTGTACTGACCTCCTTCACTGCTCTCTGTTGAGCATGTTCTGTATCCTCTTTAAGGCTCCTTTACTTAAAAGAAAAGGTTAAATGTATGAGTTTCTGTAGTTTTCATGTACTTCTATAGCCTGCTACAATTCAAAAGCTAGAACCAGGGAAGCTACAGTATGTTGGCAACACATAATTTCCTTGGTAGTCCATATTGCATGTGTTTCTGTTTATATATTTATATATATACACACATTCTCAACTTGGCACAAGCTAAAGTCATCTGAGAAAAGGGAACTGCAATTGAGAAAATGCCCCCATCTGTTTGGCCTAGGGGCATTTTCTTGGTTGATAATTGAGGTGGAAGGGCCCAGTGCAGGTGATACTGGGTTGTCTTAAGAAAACAGACTAAGCAGGAAATGAGGAGCAAACTGATAAGCAGTTTACTCTATGACCTCTGCTTTGGTTTCTGCCTGCAGGTTCCTGCTCTGTTTGAATTACTGCCTTGGCTTCATCAGCTAACTGGGATCAGGAAATGTTAGCCACATAAATTCTTCCCCAAGTTACTTTTGGTACTGTGATTTTGTTGCAGCAATAGAAATTCTAAGAAGGTGTCCCTGAGTTCCTATGCTGGAGACTCGATCCTCAGCATAGCTGTACTGGTACATGGGATTTTTAAGAGGTGCTTAGGTCACTATGTTTTGTGATACACGATTGGTGCTAATTGCAGAAACAGTATAATTGTCATAGGAGTGTGTTCTTGATCAGAGGTTCAGCTTCCCTCATTCCTCCCCATCATACGCATTATAACCTTGCCACTCGAAACTTCTTGGTATAATACATGCAGCCTGAAGGGCCTTACACCTGGTTTCATACTTTTTTGCCTCCATGAACCACAGATATACTTGTATTATTTATATGTTCGTAGTCTGTGAGATTCTGTTATAGCAGCATTTTC